TGCCGGTGAATGAAGGCACAAGGACAACTAGACTGCAGAAAAGGAGAATGATCCAGAGGTAACAGAAATCAAGAGAAATAGAGACCCCAAAACAGAGAAATGGAGACTCAGGGTTGACAGTCCCCAAGCCCTGATGCACCATGCTAAGTGCTAGAGATACAAAGAAAGGCCCTCAGCCTAATAAGGAGAGACAACATGCAAACACTCCACCCGAGATGATCACCAGAATGAAAAAGGAATAGAGGAGGTTCCTATGGGAGGTGGGCTTTTAGCTGAGACCTGAAGGATGCCAGAAGAGACCATCTGGGACAGAGAAAGACCAAGAAACTGACCCAGAAAGTAGAGACTTTCCAAAATGGGCTTGAAGACAGAGAGGTCTAGAGGAACTCAAAAATAGCAATAATAAGAATTGTCACCCTTATAAGCCCCTTTAATGTTTGCAAAGCCTCTTATATGCCTTATCTCATTCGAACCTCAGGACAACCCTGGTGGATGGACACCACTTGGTATCATTATCCCCATGTTACAGATAGGAAAACCAGACCCCAGAGAGCCTCCCCCTCCCATCAACTAGATCAACAGCTCCCACATGGTCATGTGGCTAGTATCAGAGGCAAAATTGGAAGCCCGTCTTCCCAACTCTCAAGTCTAGGACTCTAGAGCATTTCAGATCTTGTGGATACTTATCTGTGCATGTATCAAACACCTTACCATTCCTACCCCTTCCCTCCCCTCCAAATGGAAGGTCAAAAGTCCCATTTTTGCTTTGAATCTATCCCCTGCCCGATATAGTGGAATGGAGGTGTGAACACACGTGGGCGCCTCTCAATCTACACAGCAACGGCCTTAATAAAAAGACTGGTGTGAATACTAATAGTCTACAATTTGAATCTTCTTGAAAATGTTCCTCTTTGGCAATTAATTGTCCTACATTTTAAAAAAAATCATACCCAGAGGACAGTGTAGCACTAGTCTCAATGCACAGAAACAATGCTAATAATTGCCTTTATGGCTACAGGAATGTCATTTTCTATAGATGGTGTGGACTCCACATACATAGTCTATGCTTCCCCACCCCAGCCCCCAACATTGGCATATTCAAGGGGAGTGTAATTCTCCCCAAGATAAGTATTAATAACAGTGTTCCCCTTTAGAACTAAATAAATTCCCCATGAAAAGTAGGAATACTCCATGGATTGTGTGAACTTTCTTTTTTAAAAAAATTTGTTTTCAAGTTTCAGAAACTTTAATGCAAGAAAAAAAAATATTTCCATAAATGAATGTCACAAAACAAAAAGTATAAGGATATTCAAGCCAAAAAGTCCTTTACTACCAAAGTAGATTAATCACCCAACCCCAGTGAGACCAAGAGTTTTTCCTAGCTACCTCAACCCCATTTCAAATTCAGTTAGAAAGGAGTCCAGAATATAACGTATCTTTCAGATGATTCTACCATGAATACTCAAAGTATGAGGTGTTCTTTTTTAAACAATTACATTTTAAGTTTCCATTGGTAGTGTGAACTCTCTAATAGAAAGTATGAACCCTTTGTAAAGAGTAGACCACCCCCTCCCCAGAGTGTAAAACTCTAAGAATGAAAAACTTCTCTCAGGGATAATTACCAGTTCCCACATTCTGAATGCTCCAGGAAGCTAATGATCCTGTCTCCTCTTCCCCAGGGGGCAATTTGAGCCCCCAGAAAGCAGTCTCATGGATACTCAGATGAAGGAATTGTGGATCTCGTGGATAGTGTGACTTTTGCTATAGACAGTCTAATGCCTTTGCTTTTTTGGAGGTATAACTCCTCCACTGAAAACACGAACTCCCTTGGACACTGTTTCCTCCCCAATGGACAATGTAACACCATGAGTGACAAAGTCAAGTCTCAGGGACAGAATACCAACCCCCTCCCTCTTGGACAGCACACACAAACAGAGTGAACATTGGATGAACATTGTAACATCCCATGGACAGTGTAACTAAGCCATAGACTGTCCCCTCTACACTCCCACAGACAACATTATCTCTTGCACCCAACATGTGGTATTTCCCCAAAGATGCTGTATCCCCACTCCACCAAGACAGTGCAATTTTCCCCTCCCCCTAAAAATTGTGTCATTTAGCTTGATAAAATGCCTGGAGAAGAGAAGAATAATGTGATTTGCCTTCAAGTATCTGAAAGGCTTTCATGGGGCGGGGGAAGATGATTTATATTTGTTCTGACTGACCTCAGAGGACAGAACTAAGTGCAATGAGTGGAAAATAAAAAGAGAATTGTAGACAGACCGTAGGGGAAAAAGTCTAACAATTAGAGCTGTCTGAAAGGGGAATGAGTGGGGGTGGGAGGGAGGCAGCTAGGTGGTGGAGTAGATAGAGTACTGGCCCTGGAGTCAGGAGGACCTGAGTTCAAATCTGACCTCAGACCAAATACTTGACACTTACTAGCTGTGTGACCCTGGGCAAGTCACGTAACCCTGACTGCCTTGCAAAACACTCCCCTCACCCCCCAAATAAAGGCGGAATGGGTGGCCTCAGGTAGTGGTACGTTCCCCCTTGCAGAAGGTCTTCAGGCAGAGGCCAGCTGATCACTTATGTTAGCCATTGGGTCTTGGAAGGGATTATTCATCAACTATGGGCTGGATTAGACAGTCAATGAAGTCCTGTCTGGCTCTGAGATTCTGTGAGTCTGTGAATAACAGTTCACATTTCCATGGAGCTCTGACCTTACCCTCCCAAGGCTGTAACTCTTCACAGACTATTGGAACCCAGGAAACTAGAACCAAGTCCAGTGTAACTTCCCTTGCTTTAGTTAGTGTTCACACCCCCCCACCACAGTATAAATGGCTCATGAACAGTGAATGTTCCCCTCCCATCAATCTTGATATAATAATTAATAATAATAATCTTTCATCGCAAATTGTAAAACCCAGCAAAAACCAAAACACTGTGACCCATCCCTAGTGTATATTCACATAGATGCACACTTCCACCATTGACAAATTAAGTCAATGGACAATGTAATTCTCATTATGTGTGACCCATCCATCAACCATTTAAATACCAAATAGAATGTGATCATTTCCATGGAAGATTTGAAGACTCCCTTCACACAGACACTGTAATCAATTCCTTCCAAGAACAAGGTGAACCCATATAGACTTTGTGTTTTTCAGAACAGCTCATCCTAAGAACAATGCCTTGAACAGTAGATGTTTAATAATCTTTTTAATGGAATTAAACTGAACCTTTTATTGACAATGTATACACTCAATGGACTTTGTGAACCCTTTTAAAGTGTGAACCCATAATTAAAACAGGATCCCTGAGGTAGTGAGATAATGCTTCTTGTAACTGAAAGTGTAGCACCCCATATTGACATAAGGATCCTCCTATGAATGGTATGAATCCCTATGATCAGTGTGACTCTGTTTCTGGACACAGACTTTTTATGGACAATAAGTGCCCCATGGACTCATGAGTATGAACCAGTTAATATCACAGATAGTTTGATACTACCCAAGTTTGATTCCCTATGTACAGTATTACCAACCCCCCCCCAATGGAGAGTGTGAAGCCTCAATGGAAAGAATGAAGCCCCAAAGGAATTCTGAATCACATGGAAAACATGAATACTCCAGGGACAATATGACCTCCAGAGACAGTGTGACTCAGTGGACAGTACAGCCCCTCTCTCAATAATTTGAGTCCCCCAAGGAGTGTGATCACCCAACGGAAGGCTTGACTAACCCCGCAAGAGGCAATGTGACTCCACAGAAATAGTGTAAAATCTATGGACAATTTAATTCCCAGAGCAGAGAGTGACCTTTCTATAAAAGTCTGAACTCCCTTGGACATTCTCACCTCATGGATAGTTTGACCCCTCCAGGAAAACTATGAATCCCCCCTATTAATATTATTACACCTACCCCATCCCCCAATGTGATTCCTAGGGATTGTGAGACTTCAGAGGGCAGAAGTAACAGTGCAATAGATAGTGTGATTCCCCCTCCCCAACAGAATCCTGAAACACTGTGGTCATGGTTTTCATATTCTTTCCTCCCTCCAATCAGTGAAACCCATTCAGAAATATTATAAACCCCTATGGACACTATGACCTTCCAGGAGCAGCGTGAACTCACCAGAGCCAGTGTAATGCTCTAGGAAGTATGAGTCCCCTCTCATGGATAGTGTGAACCCCTAAGGAGATTATGATTCCTCAGGGACGCTATGGACATTCCAGAGATCACGTGAAACATTCTAGAATGGGATTCCTGAGGAAGTTGTGCACAGCCACAGACAGAACTATGTGCAGGACCCTTGGTTACTTGACCTCTCAGACCCCAGGTCACTAAGACCTTTACACTCCCATACCTGCAGTTTGCTAAACCAGTGAAATCTCAAGAACTCTACTCCAAAAAAAAAGGGAGGCAGGGAGTGACACCATGGACAGTGTGAACACCTCCCCCTCCCCGTGGAGCACAGTATGAAACCCCCCCAAGGGCAGGGCTGCCTGGTAGCTCTCCCACATTCTGACTTCTTTCTTTCAAGGTCAAAGGTGGAACTAGGGTGAATCTGCCGGACCCTCTGTAAGGAGGGCTACACAAGAACACAGCCTCCCTGCCCCCCCCCACCTAGTACGCATGCGTGGCCTCTACTTCCCTCTCTCCCCATCTCCCCTCCTGGTGGCAACAGGGCTCTCTGCGCGGGCGCGCTGGCTTCTTCGAGGCCACCGATTGGCCCCCATGGAAGAGCCTCGCAGCCAATGGGGAGGCAGAAAGGTGACATCACTTTTTTCTCTCTCCTCCCCTCCTCTTGGAACTTCCCTACTCTCGGCCACCACAGCCGACTCGAGGGGGCGGGGCCTGCGGCGACGAACACGGTGAAGTCATCGCACCGCCCCTCCATCGCTGATTGGTCGCGGCAGCTCGCGGGCGGCGGTTGGTTGGCCGCGTCCTCGCGCCTCCCCTCGCGCCGCCGCCGCCGCCGCCGCCGCCGCGGAAAGGAGCCGCCGGGAGACGCCGAAGCCGGAAAATCGGGTGAGTCCAAGGAGCCTGCGTCCGGCAGGGCCGCCATCGGGAACTGTTCTTTCGGATTCTTTCCCCATTCCCCTCCCCGGTCTTCTTCCCCTCCCCTCGCTCTCCCTCACTCAGCCCGGCTCCTCAGAGTCCGCACCGCACTGCCTGATGGGAGTTGTAGTCCAGACCCAGCTGCCATGTACACGCAGGCCGCCGCGGAGGACTACAACTTCCAGGAGGCACAGGGCGGCCGTCTCGTCAACAAGCTTCCGGAGCCACGCCTTCCCCAGATTTCCATTGGTCGCCTCCTACTTTAGCCCCACCTCTACGTGATCATTGGCTACTGTCCCGCATGGGGGTCGATCGACCATCCGCTGGTTACTGTATGGGGGGGAAAGCGAGAAGGCGGTGTAAAGTTGACGTCGCTCCGCTGATTGGGGGAGGGGCAGCAAGCGCAGTTGCGGCGATTGGCGGGCCCCGCCGTCGCTCGGGCCGGGCAGGGGGCGGGTCCGAGGCGGCGGCCGCGATTGACGGCGGCCCTGTTAGGGGCGGGGCCCGCGGGGCGGCCGGCGCTCATTGGTCTTGCCCGGCGCCGGTCAGCGGGGTTGTGGCCGCCGATTGGCCGGCGCTGCCAGCTGTTGCAGGTCCATTCACCATTTTGTGTGTTGGAGTAAAAAAGAAAAAAAAAAAAACAAAAAAAAAAAAGGGGGGGGGGGGGGGGGGGGGGGGGGGAGCGGAGGGGGGCGGGCGGGAGGGAGGAGGGAACGGGCCGAGGCGAGCCGAACCGAGCCCAGCGAGCCCAGCCCGGCCCAGCCCAGTCCGGCCCGGCCGGGCCCAGCCTGGCCCCGCGGAGCCCGGGGGGGGGGGGCAGGATGACATGGGGAACTGAGTGGGGAGGCGGCACCCAGGGGTGGGGAGGGCACTGTTGCATGGAGAGGACACCCAGGAATGAGGAGGGGGCTGCAGGGGTAGGGGACCCAGTGATGGGGAGGGGGTTGCTGGGACCCAGAGATGGGGAGGGTGCTATAGAGAGAGGGGACCCAGGGATGGGGAGGGGGCTGCAGGGAGAAAGGGCTCCCAGGAGTGGGGAGGGAGCTACTACAGAGAGAGGGCACCCAGGAATGGGAGGGGGTTGCTGCAGGGAGAGGGCACCCAGGAGTGGGGAGGGGGCTGCTGCAGGGAGAGGGCACCCAGGGG